TGCAATAAAAAATCCCATTGACAAAACTTTTCTGCCAACTACAACAAATAAAAGCTGCAAAGAAACAACAGCAACTGCATGGTGAAAAAAAAAGTAGGGGCGGTGGCATAAAAACAGAATCAATTAACATTTTCATTTTGCGATTTTCCGCTTCAACTTTGCAGCACAAATTATTGCATTTTGTCATCTTTGTTCTTGTTGCTGTTGCAACACCAACAGCAGCAGCAGCAGCAGCAGGAGCAGCCAATACAAATGGCTTGAAAGTGCATAATAGATGTTTGTTTGCGGCCAAATGAGAGTCCACGGAATGCTAATTGTAATTTGATTGCATGCTGTTTACCAAAACAGGATCATTTCACGCTTTAATGTCACCTCAAGGAGGATTAATTACGCAAGTGGATAACAAATGTGCTATAAACTATATAAAAAACAGGTTTTCATTTGAATCCATTAATATAACTAAATGCTTAAATGTTAAATGAAAGTTTTAGAATGATTAAGCAGAGTCCAATGATAAAAAAAACCTATAAAAAATACAAGCCGATTCCCAATAGCCAGGAGTAATTGTTGCCTTAACCGAATTAAATTCTTTTATATTAAATTTGGTCACAATTGGCTGCATTACAATATTGTTCCGCCACTTTTTTGCACCTGTTAATTATAATCTCTTTGAGCGTGCCAATGCAATACGGTAAACTGGGAAAACTGGGAAAACTGGCAGGCGTGTAAGGCCAATTCGCGGCTTCATTGTTCTTGTTTTTTGCCGGGGCTCACGTTGTTATTGTTATTCGATGGCACTTACAAATGCGAGTGAAATTCATTGGGCCCCCTGCAACGCTCACCTGGTTCACCTGGCATTCGCACCTGGCACTCGCACCTGCAGAATGCAGGAGTGGAGAACAGAGAATGCCGCACTCCACCTGCCACGCGCATTATTGCAAACAATTTGCCCTGTTTGTGCCACCGGACAAATGACAAAAAGGACAAATGGTACAAAATATTTTGCCAGCGTCCTGGTGCAGGCAATCGGAAATGTTGCCAAAGTTTTGCCAGACACAGACACACACACTCATATGCCCTGCAGGCCAACTCACACACACACTCGTACACAGAGAGGCAAAAAAGGGCACAGGATATCCACAATGTATGCACTGAGGCGAAGCTTTGGCGGCTTAGCCCCTAAAACCCCCCAATCTCCACTCGAGTGTCCTGCGCTGCCTTTTGCGCCTGCAGTGTTTGTTTTAATTTAAATAAATGAGCTTAAGCGCACTCACAGCTCGTGATCCTTTAAGGCTCTACGCCCGCTCCTTATTTTATTTGTCCTTGTCGGAATCGCAGTCGCTGCAGTTGTCCTTGTCGCCGCTGTCTCTGCCCGTCTCCGCCGTCCGTCTCCTTTTGTTGTCCTTATTTAGCTGAGCTGGCTGGCCGGGGCTATTGCCAGGATATGCAAGTGCTAAGCATTTTTAAGTCAAATTGCTTTGCCGAACATTCTGCCATTTGCCTGCACGACTGACCCGGCTGGTCCACCCTTCTGTCCTTCCTCCTTAGTCCTGGCCCAACCCCGACATTTTCCCCCGGCTTTTCCGCTTTTCCACTGCTTTCGCGACGCGTTGCTGACGTCGTCATCGCTCTCCAGTTCAAGTGTTTGCTGTTGTTCTTGTTGCACTGGCTTCTGTTTTCCAGAGGGTGTTCTCCGTTTGGCCAGCAGTTTGGCATCATTATCCAAAGTTCAAGACTTAGCATTGGGTAGATTTATTTAATTTAATTATTATATATATTTAGGTTATAAGTTTTTATGGAATTTGAAGGTTGTTTTTGCATTTATTAAAAAACAGAATTACTATAAAAACTATTAGTGTTTAGCTCGCGGCTAGCAAATTAATTTTAAAATTCGCACAAATCTTTGTTTGTAAAAAACATTTGCTTTGTTTTATTACTTTGAAAAGCAAAGTATTTGTGGTCGTGACACCTTAATTTAAAAGCAGTCAAAGGTTGTGTTGTCAACATTCAATTATAGAACCAATTAAAATATTTTTTATATTTTATATAATTTTGCTTTTGTTAAAAAAATGTCAAATAGTTGTAAGAAAATCAAAATAAAAAACAAAAAGAGGAAAAGGCATATTTGATATATTCAAAAAGGGTATAAGGGTATCGGGTATAGGGTATTAGGCACTTCGAGTGGCTCAACTGAACGTCCTTTGGCATAGCTGGTGTTTTTGTTGTAATGGCTCTTGTTTTTGTTATTCACGCTGCTGCTGTTTTAGTTGTTGTTGTTAGTAGAGGAACTTCAAAAGGCTTTTCCGCTGTGTTAGTTCGCTTTGCTGTCGCCTTTTGCTCCTTTCACTTGCTCCGCCGACCTCGCGCTGCCACTTGTCGAGTTTCTCTTTCTTCCCCGCCCACTTACACACTTTTCCGCCGCTTTTCCGCCACCCCCTGCTTTCCCCAAAACCCCACTCCTTTTTAGCCAGGCCTGAAGTTTACCTTTGCTGCAACTGCGCTGATTTGCAGTTTCTTCCTTTCATTTGATGGGCGCAGCTTTTTGTCATGTTTTTTCTAGCCCATTCATTCTTCTTTGCTCAGTTTTTCCAGCTTGCTCTCTTTGCGCCCGTTGCCCGTTTCTGTTTACACAGCAAATTTATTTATTTTCGCACTGTGGGACGCTCTTAAATATTCCGTCTTTTGAGTGCTAATGCAAATGTTGTCTGCCAGGCGGGCAATCAGAGGAATGGGTAAGAGCACTGGCAGTGGGGGACTTTTTGGGCGAAAACACCAGAAATCACTTGAAATAACGCCCGAAGATTAACTGGGAGTTTGCCATGAATCAAGGTAAATATAAGCCCCATAAGGATGGGGCTGCCGTAAAAGAAGCCATTCAATCGGAAGAGGTTTCTTTGAACACCTCTAATTAACTGTGAATCAAACGCAGAACATTCCGAAGTATGAATATGAAAGGATTCGCAAGACAGCAAATAACAAGCCTTTTTATTGAGCAAACAAAATAAAAGAACTATTTAGGCAAACAAATCTTTAAAGTCTCCTTTACAAGAAATATTTTTAAAACTAAGAAAGTTCTTGTTCATACTCATTGAGAGAATATAAATCTCTATATTATTCGATGGCTATATGCTTCTATATATGAGTATATACATATATAGTATCTATGTATAATGAAAAATGCGTGTGAAACTCCATTTGAATGCAAATTATATTGTTTTGTTTGCATCCTCTTCGGCCATTTATTTGCCTTTAAATGAAACAAAAAAATAGTCCAAAAGGAAGTGTAGAGATGCAAATGAAAACGCTGACATGTGCACATATTTAGTTTAAATATAATTAAATTTGGTTGCAAAGGAAGTCAATAAAACAGGATTTATTAAGAAGCAAAAAAAAATGCTAAAAGGGAAGTGTGCAAATGCAAATGGAAGTGTCTGTCATGCAGATACATATTTTTAGTTCAAATATAATAAAAATAAGTGGAATAGGAAGTCAATAAAGCAAGATTTTACGAGCTGATAAGTAAGTTTAGAAATTCAATTTAGATAACGAATGAGAATAAACTCAATAAAACATGTTACTATACTATTTCCAACACAATGCCATTATTACAATGGTCTGAGAAAACAGTTAAATTTAATAACCGTAAGTTAATCCACTTAGCAGAAAAGCAGATTGATTCCCGACACCCCTCATCCCCTAACGACTCTCCGACCCCCTGGGTAGAATTTCTCCAGCTGCAAGCTCAAGTGCATCCCACGCCAAGTAAACTTCCCTCCCAGCAACATTTTGAAACTCTAATTTAATAAGTAAATCACATTTCCGCCTTTTGAATGTCACCACCCAGGACACCGGCGGAGTTAGGAGGTGGAACCCAGAACGCAGAACCCAGAAGTCGGAACCCGGAACCGAGCTCCCATCTCCCAGTTCCCGGGGCATCGCATTGACACCTCGTCAGAAGTTCGCAAGACATCGCCCCGGCGACTTGCTAACTGGTTTAGTGCAAATTCACTATTAGGAGAGCGCTCAATTTCACACTGGAATTAAATTACAGCGCATGCCGATGTGGCAAGGTGGGCGTGGGTGAGCTCACTGGGTTGACTTAAGCTAGGCGGGGTCGTAGGAGATCAGAGTTTGTGGCGGGTTTTCAACGCCACGGCAAATGAGCGAACACCTCGTTAGTTTGTGCGCCTCGAAACTTTTTTAATATTTACATTCATATTTTGCACCTTTCGCCTTTTTAACCGCTTTTTCACGCCCTCCCAAAATTGCGGGGCCTTCTTTTATTGCAACTTCTGCATCCTGCAGCATCCTGACTGCTGGATGGACCAAGGATCCTGCCGAGCCATAAATTTTTGTTTGTGTTGAAAATTGCATTTGCCTTTTACTTTGTGTCGAGGCTGAGCCAGGGATACCAAATTGGTGGCAGGAAGGGGGTGGAGCACAGGAAAAAAAATTAAAAATACTTGAAAACAAAGTAAATCACTTTTGATAAAAAAACTTAAGCTTGGGGTATAGCAATATAGCCAACAATAAAAATAAGCTTAGATTGTTTCTTTAAGTAATAAACTTTTAATTAACCAATTTTGAATATATATTTTATAAATATAAATCTTTTTTGATTTTTTTAATTTTTGAATTTAATCATATTAATATTAAGATTAAAACTTACAATTACTCCCTACAATTCTTCTCAGTGTGCTCCATAGTTGTGTTGGTGAGATTGAGCTTGCCCGGCAGCCATATTGGATGCCCCTAAAAGCAGGCAACGTCAAATTTGTTGCAACGCTTGATAATCAAGTTAGCGATGGGCGCTCCTGCCATCAAACCTTGTCCCCTCTCTACCCCCTTTTAGTGCACTCAAATTGAACAGCCTTTTGTGCTCGATTCTTCGCTTTTTTCGCTTTATCGCGATATAAATTTAAACCGATGATTCGGATTCGGACCGGGACTGTGATTCAGAATCTGATGTTTTGCTCGCATTTCTTGTTTACTTGCAGATGTCAATGGGCGTGGCAGAGGGACGCGAAGCGAACCAGCTGAAAATCAAAGCCCAATTGGCACAAACACGCGGTAAATAGAATTCGCAATCGGAATCGGAATTGAAATAGGAATTCGCATTCAAATTCAAATGCAAATAGAAATAGAAATTGCCACGAGACCCCCACAGAAAAAAAAATAGCAACTAAAATACCCATAAAATAATAGGAAAACAAAGAGTGCCAGGAGAAACAGCTGCTGCAGCAAATAAAAAGAACCGCAACAGCAGCAACAACACTAACAACAACAACAACAACGGCAATAACAACTCCACCAACAACAACAACGAAAGCAACAATATGGAGAAGCTGCTGCAATCGACGCTGTTTGTCATCCTGATAATGGCCACAAAATGCGGCAGTGGCTCGACCCAGAATCAGCATCACGGTAAGTGGGCACGGAGGGAGGCTTTAATTGTGAGCGGAGCTTCACTACATCCGTTGACATTCCTTTCGCAGAGAGCAATTCCCAACTGGATCCCGATCCGGAGTTCATAGGGTTTATCAACAATGTTACATATCCGGCTGGCCGTGAGGCCATCTTGGCCTGTTCGGTGCGCAATCTGGGCAAGAATAAGGTGAGCTTAGGGATTTTTTTTATTACAAGAGCAATTTTTAAATATAAAACTTTAATATTATTTAAATATTTATAATGGATATCCTGTTAACAGGTTGGCTGGTTGAGAGCCTCCGATCAGACAGTTTTGGCTCTACAAGGCCGAGTGGTAACCCATAATGCCAGAATCAGTGTCATGCACCAGGACATGCACACGTAAGTTTAAACAGCTTCTTTAAAGCTTTATCACTTGAATATATTTTCTTATATTTTTAGGTGGAAACTGAAGATCAGCAAACTGCGGGAAAGTGATAGAGGCTGCTATATGTGCCAAATAAACACAAGTCCCATGAAGAAGCAAGTGGGTTGCATTGATGTGCAGGGTATGTCTACTTAAATTCCTTCAAATGAAGTTAATGTGTAATGGAAACTTTCTCTGAATAGTTCCACCTGATATTATCAACGAAGAATCCTCCGCTGACCTGGCTGTTCAGGAAGGCGAAGATGCCACCCTCACCTGTAAAGCCACAGGGAATCCCCAGCCACGAGTCATCTGGCGCAGAGAAGATGGAGAAATGATTCTCATTCGCAAACCAGGCAGCCGAGAGCTCATGAAAGGTGAGTATCCTTAGATAAAAACTGTTATCAACTTATAATATTATTATCAATTTCCATTCACAGTGGAATCCTACAATGGTTCCTCACTCCGGCTGCTTCGTCTGGAGCGGCGTCAGATGGGCGCCTACTTGTGTATAGCTTCCAATGATGTTCCACCTGCTGTCAGCAAACGAGTCTCTCTGAGTGTGCAATGTGAGTTATTAAATAAATATTTACTAGAATATTTCAACTTCATAACAGGAAACTTTTTACTTCGTTTAAGAAGTCACATAGAAGTTGAAAATTAATTTATATTTACATGAATTTCCTAGAAATTAAATGAATGTTTAAATTAATGCTTCTAAACTTTAATGATAAATCGAAAACATTTCTTATAAGAACCAAACAATATAAATCAAATCAATTTAAAAGTCAGTTTGCTGAACAATTTCACAATTTCCAGAAAATAAGAATAATAAATGTATTTTCCTGAAATCGATGAAATCCGACCACTTACTCACTCACCATTCCCATCCACAGTTGCTCCCATGGTCAGGGCTCCCAGCCAACTGCTGGGTACGCCCCTGGGATCCGATGTACAGCTGGAATGCCAGGTGGAGGCATCGCCGTCGCCCGTCTCTTACTGGCTGAAGGGGGCACGGACGTCCAACGGATTCGCCAGCGTCTCAACGGCCAGCCTGGAGTCCGGCTCGCCAGGACCCGAAATGCTGCTCGACGGGTAAGTTTTGGGAATTGCAGACGCCAGACATCAGTGATACATATCCATCTCGAAAACCATTCCATTCCTACCCATATCCAATGCAGGCCCAAGTACGGGATAACAGAGCGGCGCGATGGCTATCGGGGCGTCATGCTGCTGGTGGTGCGTTCCTTCTCGCCCTCCGATGTGGGCACCTATCACTGCGTCAGCACAAACTCGCTGGGCCGTGCCGAGGGCACATTGCGGTTATACGGTGCGTATACGCAATCTCTGCACCGCCATCTCTCGTTCACTGACTTTAATTTGTTTTGTTTGTCCATGTTTTTTTCTTCGCCCTGTGTGGTTTTGTATTGCAGAAATCAAGCTACATCCGGGCGCCTCCGCCAGCAACGATGATCATCTGAACTACATCGGAGGTGAGTTTTATGGAAAGAACATCTTGGGCGGATATATTTTACAAAAATATTAAATTCGGGGATTTCAAGCTTTTTTCTGTAAAATTTAAAGTACATTATTTTTGACCATCATACAACAGGTCTCGAGGAGGCGGCACGGAATGCTGCCAGAATCAACCGGACGACGTGGCAAACTCTGCTCGCCATGCTGGTCCTCCTGTGGATGAGGCTGAAACTAAGAGCCGGGGGAGCGTGATATCAAAACTGAGAGAAGCAGAGCCGGCAATCAAGTATTCCTACAGATTCCCTCGGACACCGACATCGACATCTCTCTCTCTCGCCTGCGTTCTTGTTGTTCGTTTCCGTTTCCGGTTCCGAATCCCCCAACTCCAACTTATTGGACCCCAGCCGCCCACGCACACATACATATTGCCGGAGGCGCCTCCCGCTGCCTCAGATATCATTTGCATACGTATCAGGAAACGCGTTTTTCCCACCCGCTCAACTCCCCCTTTGCCAACTCCCACTGCCCGCTCCCCCTAAATAAAACTTAAGACGATATCAAAAGTGGACAATTGGATGCCAAGCCCTACCATTTTCCCCAGTCCCAAATAATGTTACATTGCATATAAATTAAATATGGATACTATAAAATAGTGCATAAAATTTATTATCATAATATAAATAACGACAAAATTATTGAATAAATTATCGCAAAAGTGGAAAAAAAACCGAATGGAAAACCGCTTTTTCTTTACTTCCGACAGGGTTTCCTGCGCCACTGGCCTGACCCACTGATCCATTTTCTGGCCACTGTTTTCCGGATGTTAAGAGGTAGGTAGAAGAGAACAAAATCAATGAGGCACTTTAATAACTTACCCCATTGCTTTCCAAGGAGCACTGGACAGGTGCCCTGCAAACTTCGAATGTCACAGTTCCCGGAGTTGTCGATGTTGTGCCAAACTAAAGCCGATCCGCGATTGGGCTTAAAGCCAAAACCCAGGTCCGGGAAGGAGACATAGCCACCCATCTGAACATCACTTAGCTGGAGATTAAACATTCAAACTTTAAAATTTAAAATTACTCGCGGCTAATAAACATTGGCTTTTGCTAAACAGTGGATTTTATTGTTTTTGAGAGAAGTCAAAATATGCCTATTTTTAGAGTTTGTTTTTTTGGGAGCATGTTTATATTTTGAATAATCTTTATATAAATATGTTTTTGAATTCTCACGATTAGTTAAAATATGAATACACTCACATAAAGCTGCACAGTGGCCGTTCGATATTCTTTGTCAAAAGGTTCAACAAACTCCTGAAAGAAAATCTTTTCTATAATGGGCCCAATTTATATTTGAAAGATAAATTTACCTTAGGTTGTTTGCAGTCCAAATGGATAAAGTGCTGACCTCCAATGCCAAAGTTAGACACTGTTAGCGGTTCACTTTCTTCCAAATTGAGTCCTGTCATATCCTCAAGCCTTCTGTGAAGCCGTTCTACATTGCTCGTGGCATTCGCCTGCACTTCTGCCTCTACACTAGAGCGATCTAATTTTCTTGTCTCTAAACTTGATTTTGTGATGGTTAATAAGTCTTTCTGCTCTGCTGGTGAAATAACATTATGAAAGAGGCCAATGAAAGGCTCAAAGTTGAGCTGCTCGAGCTTCAAAGGAGCTAGGCCTAGAAAAGGAGAACCTTCTGTAAAATATCGACAGCGAAGGGAGGATTTCCTCGGAAGGAGGTTTTTCCCCCTACAGTTATCCAAATGCACAAACATGTGAGACAAGTTATCGACCAAGTGATTGGCCAGATAAGTATTATCATTCTTGGAGGCCCAATCTACTGACTTCTTTAAAGCAGCTTGACTGGCTGGCAAGTCATCTACAAAATATAACAAGTGTAATAATATAGCTTTGCTATAGCGTTGACTTACGCAATGAGAGCAAAGTTAAGCCCAGTTTTTCATAGATTTGAGAGCGGCCTGTTTGAAGTAACCGATTTACTGGATCCAACTTATCCTCATACTGATCTAGCGAAATTTTCAACCACTTGCAGGCATGTTTACCCTTTTGCAGACTCTCTAAATGAATGCCCAAAGCTAGGCAATCAGCGGAACTCAGTCTGGATCTTTATAGAGACAGAAATTAAAGTTTAGTTCAGGGGTTTAGATCTTACACACTCACTTGTACTGTTTGTTATGTAATTTGCCATTGGCCATGTCGCTTTCATTCAAGCCATAAACGCTCTGAATGCGCAGCAAGCCGGTGGCAGCCATTTCGAGTTCCATTTCTGAAACTGCAGTTAAATCTGTGCCTACCAACTTTTGAAGAGGCCCTGTCAAAAAAGACCAACGCAGAAATATAAAGCTCTTCCGGATAAATTTCGAAGATTGCTGTAAGATTTTACGGCATTAATCACTACAACAGACTTGCCTTGTTTGACCTCTTGTCGAGCGATTTCCATCCACCTATGGACATCAGTGTACATTCGTCGCATGAGAGGGAAACTTATTAAGGGATTAGACACATAGATTGTTGGATCCGCGTGCCCCAGTGCTCTTCTAGTCATCCACTCTTTCTGGAAACTGTTACAATCCACTCCTAAACAACTTTAAATGATATTGTTACATCACATACTCCCTCATTGTGTTTACTTTAAGTTGCAATTCCCTCGCATACTGACGCGTATACTCAATAAGTTCGTCCTCTATCTTTAGCAGGGTAGCCGAATCTCGTGTCGATGTGGCGTAGTGCATGTCCATAGCCTTTGTTGTTCCGAGAAAGAAAATCAACCACCAGAGGTTCATCTTGATAACTGAATGTTAAAATATCGGAGATCTTGAATATGCATAAAACCAGCTATGAAATTTCAATTTGTTCGGCTTTTTCAATATAAGCCGAAGAGTATGCAACACTTTCTAAACCACAAAGAAACTGATTCCCCTTGCAATGGTTAAAAGCTCTTTGGATCATATAACATGGTGTTTGACATGATCTTTTAAAAGCTTTTTGATTCATTTTATAACTTGTACCATTTCCAAAGCAGATTTACCACTATATTAAAAAATCATTTAAATTCTTTTTTATTTAAGATTTATTTCAATTTTTAATAACTTGACAATATTTGTTTTTTTTTTATCTTATATGCTGGTTGATCGGGTTAAATTGCAAATAATGTAATTTATAATTAATATTTATGTAATATTAAACTAACTCACAATCATTTGAATTAAGTATGTATAGTATATTCAAATATACTCTAGGGTTCGCACGATGTGTGTGTATCAATGTGTAAATGGGTTGGTTGATCTTTCGATGTTCGATAAAACGAAAACGAACAAAACAGGCCGGCGATAGTTCTACACTTTTCAAAACGTATTCTATAAGAGAGATGATGGCTCTGGGCTGCTACTGAATTTACACAAAATGCGCTGCGATCGCTGTAGTGTACACAGGGGCGGCATAACAATTGCTCTTTACATTTACAATATTATCGGTACATTCGTGGGCGATGTACATAATGGCTTGCATTAGCTTACAGTTCACGCTCTCGAAATGGTGTATTAATTACAAATTAGTCGGCTCCCATTGCAGTGACAGGCGTACAAATGGGGATGCATTTCAACTAACGTGTTAGCGACTTTCTTATTTTACAACTACATTTGTATAATCCAATAATCGGGTTTGCAGTCGGTTCGGTTTTGCCTCCACTACCTTTTGGGGTGTGCACATTTCAAGACATTTACAAGTAGGTTCAAGTGTCGGGAGGACGTACCGCACTATCAATATTATACACGATTTGGTTATCATTACAGAACAAAACACTGTTGGCGGGTATGGTACAATGCACAAGCGCAAGCGTAGCGCTACACAGCTCTAAATATGATGCACAGCAACAAGTGCACGAAATATTAGGAAACAATGGATCAATAAATTTTGTATAATTAACATCTATACAAGTCAAGTTCAAAAAATTTAGAATAAAAAGACTTTAGCACTTAAAATAGGGTTCTCCTGCAGAGCTGCTGATCTACTCTACGAGGCCGGTGCAAGACGTTGCTGGACGACTGCTTTGAGTGTATGTTTGCATGAATGAGTGCTTGATTAGCGCTGTCTGTCAACAATAACCAAATCGCTGTAATTCTCATCTGGAGAGGCTGTGCGACCGTTCGCGGCTGCTGCTGCCCGACGAAAGAGGCTGCTTGTTGCTCACTTCTCCCACTCTATGGTGCGGTGGCAGCCTGTCGAAGAACGGATGACGCAGGGCCTCACCTGAAACGAATAAAGCAGACACGTAAGCATGGTAATCAATCAAACAAATTAAACACGACTTACCTAACGTGATGCGGGACGAGGGCTCATACTCCAACATCTTCTTGATCAGACTGAACAGCTCACAGTGGTCCTCGCTGTCGCTCAGCTGGCACAGGAACAACGGCTTGCAGTGGTCACGGACGTAGCGACCCGCACTGGACTTCTCATCCCAATCTAACTTACCGTGATAGAAGTACTTTGTTTTGGTTTTGCTATAAAGAGTATGATTGCTACACGTTAAACGATTTCGGTGAAGGGTACTGCGCCTTGGGAAATAAAAGCATGAGCTGCATTGTATTACCGTGCCATGCGATATGGTATTTGTCCTAAGATTCGCTCCATCATGGCCAGGTGTTCGCGATTGTCGTGCGTTTGGAAGAGCGTGATTCCCAGATACAGTTCAAACAAGATGCACCTGTTGGCGAAATTTCGTCGATCATTTAATATGCGCATACTCGTACATGAAATGACAATCCGATTCTTACCCAATGGACCAAACATCACACGGCTGTGACCACCCCAGCTCTAGTATGACCTCAGGCGCGCGGTAATGTCGCGTCGAGACAATTGTGCTGTGATGCTCGTGGTCAAAGGTGGCCGACCCAAAGTCGATCAGACGAACGTCAGTGTTCTTGACACGGCGCACCTCGCGGTTCTGTAGATTATTAAGATATAAGCATTGATACTTTTATTATTACAGACTTTACTTACAATCTTATGATTATAGTGAGAAGTATAATCTGAATCGACGAAGAGTATATTCTCCGGCTTGAGATCTGTGTGCGTTAAACGATTGTCATGTAAAAATTTCACAGAATAGCATAATTGATAGGCCATGTGGCGCACTTGGTCCAGCGAGTATGGCTCATAGTTGTTCTCACGCTGTAAAATATTTATATTATTATTAAATTCAATTAAGAAAGATGGTTGTTTCATACCAAAAAATCGAAAACACTAAGCCCCAACATTTCAAAAACTATACACATGTGGCCATGGTAGTCAAACCAGTCAATCATTTTCACGCACAAACTGGAAAAGTAAGTATAATGTTAGATATATTCCAAAGAGCAAATATATATTATATATAAAACTTACTGATCGCAATGCGGATCCTTCTGGGCAATCTTTTCCAAAGCATTAATCTCTAGCTTGGCAGCTTCACGGTACTTTTCCACGTTCTTAATAATCTTCAAGGCCATGCAGTAATCACTGAAACATGAAGGAAAGTTTTATGTATTATTTCGATTGATTCAAGAACTTCAGAACTTACCGCTCCATGTCTTTGACCTTGACCACACGTCCAAAGGTTCCCTCACCCAGTGTGGCCATGATCTTATCTGAAATTCGGGAAAAGGAAGGCAAGTTGTAGTAGGGTTTCGGACAAGTCCAAAGGGAGTGTTAAACGTTAGCTGTCTGGTTTATTTTTCTTGTTCTAAAACTAAACCTATAGTTGTAACTAAATAATTGATGAGGGCTGGGCAAAATTCTAATTTGGACTCTAAGCTAAGTGTGTACGGAAAGAGTTTTGTATTTTCAATATTATTTCGTTAATTATGCGACAAAGTTCGTGTTCGGTTTGGTTTATATGTGAAAACTTCCCAGTTGAATTTCGTTGTTAAGGGAAATTTTGTTGCCGGTAAAAGTTAAACTTAGAGTCATCAGAGGCAAATTTCGGAAGTTGAAAAGGTTTTCGCGAAACTGACGAAAATGGTGTGAAATTTTTCAATTGTTGTTTGTCCTTCTCTTTTTTTTCGTTCAAAATTGTCTTAATTTCCCGATTGCACGCGACGCGATTTTGGTCTTGTTGTGAGATAATTAAGAAATAATAAAGAAAACTTGGAAATATTTGAAACTAAAAGAGAGTTATAAGAAGAGTAGAGAAGTGTGACTGTTGTGGCTTTTGCCTCTCATTTTTTCGTCTTTCTTTTCTTTGCATTTTTTTTTTGTTTGGGTTTCTTTCTGATTGTTGTCTAAACATAAGTATGGAAAAATTAAAAACCAAAAATTGTCACGAACATCTGTGATGGAGAATGTCTCCGGTGTGGTAAATTAAGTGACCATCAGCATCATCTTGAATGACGGGCTTTGCTGTCTGTTCGATCGAATCGGATTGGGCGGAGCGGAGCGATCGAAGACGTAGGGTGGTTGCAGTGGTTGCCGTTGGCGTTGCCGTTGTTGCAGGGGGGTTGTTGGGGCGGTGGTTGCGTTTGCGGTGGGTTGCGACGATTGCGATTGCGATTGCGATTACGTTGCGGATGGTGCATTCGATCCGTTGAAAGAAGGTGGGTTGCGAGCGAAACGGCGAGCGAAGAATTTGCGAGCGAGAAGTTGGGGGCGTGGTTGTTGTCGATGGCAGTTAACAGACGTACACATAAGGTGCGTGTGTGCGTGTGTGGTAAAGTATGTAATTTGAAAGAGAGAAAAAGAAACAAAAAAGAAAGAGAAAAAAGAAACAAAAATTTATATATTTTCCAGGGATTCGATCGGTATGATCGGGTTTCCAGGGGTCGGTCGGGGCCATCAGGTCAGGTCAAGCCAATCAAAAGCACATCATCCAGGAACGAAGAACGATCCCACGTTGGCACCAAAAGTAATCGCATTCCGTTTATAAGTCAGCCGCAGAATAGCCCGTAAACCAACCAACATCATCATCATTTCATCATCCCCATCAAGTTGTGTATGTACATCATCATCATCAACCCATCATCATCATCATCATTGTGATTTTCATCATCATATTCAGAAAAAACACGAGAAAAATACGTTTCGTTTGTTCGATAAGAAAATTAGTTCGGACAAATTTTTGAAATTTGTGTTTACAAAAATGGTTAATATCAAAACATGTACAAACAATATCATATATAATGGCAAATAGGTATATATCGGAAATGGTATATATAACGTATTATATATATATTTATATATAGGAAATGCACCAATAGCCGTGCTCTTGTTTCTTGGGCAATAAAAAAAAAAACAACAAACCATTTAATGCTTTTTGTTTTAGTAATAACACGGTAATAGCTTTATGGTAATATTTCGTAAATGTAAAATGATAAAAGAACAAATATAGTAGCTTTTCGTTGTAAAAGTCAAGGTCAGAGGTTTCTTCTTACATTTTTTCCTAGTTTTAGTTTAAAAATCGCATGCAAAAATCGCAGGCAGGAACGACATTGTATCAGTTAGTCAACATGGAATACAATCCGCAGTGCTGTTAGCTTTTTCTGTAGTAGGTCGACTGTCTGGGAAGTAGATTTGGAAATGGGGCCTTGAGATATGGGGTGGGGACGGGTGTTCAGGGTCAATGGACAGTTGCAGTTGCAGTTAGAAGAGGCGGCGCCAACAAAAGCTCAAGCTGCTAACGTATCATCTATCCCCCAAGATGAACGGGGTGGCTCATTGCTTACAAAGGTCGAGAGTGTCTTTGGAATGCGTGACCTGTTGAACAGGGCCGACGAGGTGGCGCTCTTAGCCAGTTGGTAGTGATCGTGCTGCTGCAGGTAGGAGGACGACTGCTGATACTGCTGCTGGTAGGCATCCAGTTGGGATCGCTGAGGATACAACGAGCTGCCTCCCAGGGCATTTGAACGTCTGCTACTGCCGCTGTACGAGTCGTGGAGGTAGCTCGATCCGGAGCCCGTTCCGGAACCCGGCTTATAGCGATCGAATTCACTGAGAACGGCGGCGGTACGTGAACTGGCGCCCTGATAACGCTGCTGCTGACGTCGAGCATCTGCTGCCGCGAGGCGGGCACCAATTCCGCCAAAAGCTAGTGCCCCAGAGCTGGAGGAGTGCATCAGCTGGCTGCTGGGCTTATACTTCGCGAGGTCATTGTTGTTGCGATCTGAGTGGGGCAGAAAGCGGCTCTTGTTGGTGGTGCCAGAGGAGAGTGCCGTCGTTGCTGCCGTTGTGTGGTTAGAAAGAGCGGAAGTGCTAGTGGATGAGTTGGTGGCTGTATTGGAGGGAGTGGTGGTAGTGGTGGAGGTAGTGGTGCTGCCATTAACAGCCGGGATCTGTATCTGTGGGGTTGTGTCTGCTGTGTGGGTTAGTTGCACACCGGGCGCAGCCGAATCGGTCTCGGTTTCAGTCTCCTCCTCATCGGAAGAGCTACTGCCCGAAGTGCTTTCAGAGGAGCCACTGCCATCGCTACCGTCTCTAGTTACTTTTTTGCTGCGTGATTTCTTCTTAGGCGCCTCCTGCGGCGGTTCATGTTTAGCTGCTGCTGCTGCAGATGCCGCTGCTGCAGTTGCTGCTGCCGCTGCTGCTGCCTCCTTGGCCTTTTTAGCCTCCTCCTCGAGAGCAGCCGCCTCTGCTTCGGCAGCCGCCACTGCCGCTTCAGTCTTCTTGGCCTCCTCAGCCGCCTCTTCCATGCGCTTGACGCGATCCCTGAGTTCACGACGTTTGCGCATGCGCTCCTCGAACTTTTTGGCTTCCAGGAACTGGTTATCTTCGCGGAGCAGCATCAGAATTGCCGCATTATCCTCTGACGAGCGATCGTCTGCAAGGATTTCACGCTCTTCAGCAGTCAGTTCTGGTGGTGGCTGCTCCTTACGCCGATGAGCAAAGCGGTTTCTCGAGTTCAATGGACGATCTTCGGCAGGTGCTGCTGCATTCCGACTACTGTCTTGGATTTCAGCTGCTAGCAGGCTTTCTACAGTTTTGGTTCTTCCGTAGGCCCTTGTAGTGCGTGGTGAGAGTGCTGCTTCTTCTTCGCCACCTCTTCTGCCGTAGCGGCTGGATGGATAGCCTGATGCTCCTCCCAGACGCAGGGCATCGTGATAGTCGTATCGCTGGCCATAGTCCACTGGGTAATTCTCGTCCAATAATCGATTGCCGCTGGTCAAATAGCCACTATCATTCGACTCTGCCATATAACGTTGCCTCTGAGCTCGAGTTCGGTATGGAGTACGCTCCTTGCGATCGGAAGCGTTAAAAGAACTGGACGACAACTTTGACTTGGCCAGCTGGTGGGAGGTGGCCGAGCGAAGAAGTCCACCACTACCACTGGTGCCATAGTCGTCGGGCTCCAGAGTCTTGTCACGATCCTCCTCATGGCGGCGCCTGCCAGCTGCACGCTCCAAAATATCCGAGTATTTGTTCTCCAGCCGGGAAATGGCCGACTGTTTGCTTCCTGAGATAGTCGCTGAGGTGGTGGGCGTTCTGTCTTTGTCCAAAAGCAGATCTCGTCGCTGAGAAACCAGACGTAGTCGAGGGGTATTGAGATTAAGATTCAGTTTCGGATTCAGAGGTTTAATGGAGAAGGAAAGTGCTCAAAAGCAGCGCTCGTGTGAAACCAACGGTAACGGGCGTAAAACTCTTTACGCTCCACGAAAGAAGAAGGCCCAGAGACCGAGACCTAGACTTAGACCCATTTAAATGGCCTTTTCGGTAATGACTAATTATGGGGTGCTTGGGCCTTTTCATTTCGCACAATTTCACTACTATTATAGCCACTCTATACGGCGGCTTTCTCCATGTATTTTCGACTTTTCGGACAGATAGTTTGTTGGGCTGCGGGAATACCCTTTATTTTTATTTAGAATGCCTAGCGAAATCTAAACAAAAAAGTCCACGGCGCGACGACCTTCAAAGTTTATATATAAAACGCCAGAAAATCGTGAAAATCGTGAATAGCTTTATACACATCTGCGGCGTACAGAGAGATACAAATATAGCGGAATAGAGAAAAATCGCCGAGATGTTGGAATCGAAAATAAATTCGACAACGTAAACGCACACGGCAAGAATGAAGCTGAAGATATAGAATGAGCATATAGAAGCGCTATAAAACGCGCCCGTGTGGGCCCCTAATATAATATCTGCACATATATCTGTGTAGAAAGAAACTTTCTATAGGCATCTATGTGGCAATAGGGGTAGCGTTAGTGCAATACTGTTTGGCCCAACACATATAAATACCCCTTTAATTGCGCATATTTCCCCTGTTCGACCGTCAGACATGTCACACATTTAGGGCAGTCACTCTTTCGCTGAGTCACGGGCGACAGGTGAGATGATTTCTTTCATTTTTTTCCAAAATGAAATACCCAGGGAGTGAGTCACGGGACTCGCTTTTGGGATCTCGATCTGGGTCTGGGTCTGTTAAGAGGTCTACGTTGGTTTGCACACCGCTCGCTTTTGGTTCGCTTTGCTTTGCCTTGGTTTCGGAGATACTAACATCGTCTAGGTCGCGGTCACGCCTTCCGCCTCCCAATCCTCGGATCAGTGGCTTGTAGTAACCACCCACGGGACTCAAGTGGGTCCGCAATCTGTCCAGGGCGTTGGCTGTGGTGGAGCTCTTTTGGTAGCGACCCATTAGTGCGGCAGTACTGGTGCTAGTCCCGCTGCTGCTGGGATGGTAGCCCAATCCCGCAGTGCTTCCAAGTCCTCCGCCAGCATAGTACCGTCTGTGGCGATCGGCCATTTCGCGATCTTTATCTCGTTCCCTATCCCTATCCCGTTCTCGTTCCCTTTCCCGTTCCCTTTCTCCTTCCGGATGTCTCCGGCTGGACGAAGATTTATCTGAGCTGCGGCGACGTTTGTTCAGCTTCTGCGACTGATTGCTGGATCCAGCTTTTCCCTTGTTATTGTTATTGTTGCTGTCATTCGTTGGGGTCGAATCTTTGGGATCCTCGGCTATTGGTGCCGCACTTGAAAGAGAAGCCCAACAAAACAATGAGTTGCGGTGAGGATCAATTCGGTTCTTTTATATTGTTTCTCGTCGGTCTGGATGCGTTTATCCACGCGGTTCGCGACGAACGACGGACGGAACGCGCTGCCACGACACGGACTAAAATTTAACTGAGGAAAACTGGGGAAAAATTTTCGGAAAATTCGTGCGACGACGAAAGAAAGAGGCGGCATCTGCCGCGAAGACCGAAGTAGATGAAGGAAATAATGCTGCGGCGGCAGCCAGAAAATATTGAGGAATCGTTTTTATTTTTGTGAAAAGTGTGAAAATATTGCGCACTTGCCAGAGCGAGAGGGCAGCAAAGAGTGCGAGCGAGAGCTTAAGAACACCCAAATAACATATGTAGACGAGTGGGTGGATTGGATAGTAGATTGGATGCGATTCGCTTCGAATGGGAATGCTTCTTTTGTCTGCCAGCTGGGCGATTTACAGGCGCACGCGAACCTCACGCTTATCGGAATGCATTTCACTTTGTAACCCGTACAATTACATTTCCGTCAGGTTAGCAGCAAAACCGGGAAATGATCGAAAGTCTTCGCAGAAAAAGCCTTGAACTCTCGCCGACAAAACAACAAAGTCAACCAGAAGAAGAACAATAAAATTGCTGCCGCTGGTTGAGCGCGGAAAAGAAATAAAAAGAACAAAGCGAAACATTTACGTGTTATTTTAAACGTGCTCGCATATAAATAATAAAGGAGCAATTGCAGTTAAACAAAGAGCAGCGAAAAAGAGAGATCGCATACTTTATGATCATGCGTAATGAGGAAGAAATCGCTAGACATCGAGCTGTGCTAGAGAATTTATTTGGTATTCCCCGAAGACAGCTGAAGAGACATTTAAGGAATTTATCAAATGAAGAGAATAGAGAATCGCTCAGAGAATCCAGACACAGCTGTGAAAGCTTTTGGGACTCTTCTCAAGCTTTTTTGTGCAATCAAAACTTTTTGGCAAAAATATTGAACTTTGGTTAGCCATACAGAAAAATATGCAAATACGCCAAAAATTTGGCAAACATTTCGAGGTTTTTATGGAAATGCTGGAATTACACGTAAATAAACCGATTTCCACTTGAAGTTAAATCTCGGTCAACTATCTACCATTTCACTTTCAAGTTATTAATCACCCAAGCAATTATTGACTCTTAAGATTGACAATAAGGGGTATCCAGTGCGAATTAGACTGATTTAGGAGCTCCGTTAAGCTCTATTTGATTTATGACTGGCAATCAAATGTGATAAATCAAATTTCGACTGCAGGCAGACTGGGTTCCCAGCACTCAAATCTTTTCTCCTCTGGCAATTAATCACGATTTATGACCACGAGATTTTCACACTTTTCGAGATCGACGCACTACTGGAAGTTCAGGTGCGAGGTTCAACGCGATTTGAAACGCACTCACTCGAGCCGTTTACATAATTGGCCTTCTTCTCAATGGCCAAAAGGCAGTTGGCCGAGAGATGGGAAATGCAATATACGAAACGAATCGTATAAAATGATCCGATCGCGAGATACTTTCGACCACGGAGTGACGCGCTGCAACTAAACTCGCAATTACGCGCTGACCACTCTGCTTAAATCTGCGCCGCAGACAGAGAATAAAATCACGAGGCGAGTGAAATGAAATGAAAATAGAGGGAAAAAGGAAAAACACTGAGCGAGTTTTGACCGAGTTTTTCGTTTGACGAAAGGCGACGAAAGTAAAAGAAGGCACGCAAAATTAAAAATAAATTATAAATCTTTTGCTTGATTTCTTTTGCATCGATTACCGATTGCGTTGTTGCTGCTGTTGCTGTTGCTGCTGTTGTTGTTGCTGCTGTTGTTGATGTTGCTGTTGCTGATGTTGCTGCTGTTTATTATCAGGTCGTTCGCTCGGATTGCGTCGAAACCGCTGTAGCAGACTGTTGCAGCTTTCAGAGAGCAGCTGCGTGACGCTGGCAGCGGTGGCACTTCTCATATACCGCCGCTGCGGACGCTGCTGCGTCTGCTGCTGCTGCTGCTGTACCGCCTCCGCGTCAGCTGTTTTTCCATTTTCCCCAACCGCCGTTGTTGGCAATATCTTTTCGCTTTTTTCGCGATGAAAACGATTCAGAAATGTGGCCATTTCTTGACTTTTTCGGATATCGGAGGAAATCCTCCTCCTCTTTGCGGTCGGTTTCGCGTGGGTCTCGGCCGAGATGACGATGACGACAATCGGATAATACTTAACGCTTCTTAGGGGCTGGTGGTGGGTGGGTGGTATATCGTCTGGGCGTTTGAATTTTTGGCGGATACGGATCGTGCTCTTCCGACTTGGTCTATTTCATTAATTGTACTGATTTCTGGTATTTGTTGGGAGCATGATTTTGTTGTAGACAAATAAAATATAAATGTATTGTACGTTCTCGGAGTGGCAATATATGTACGTAGAGATCTAGTATAGACAGAGCGTATTTATGTGTAAAAATAATTGAAATTGTAAGAGATTCGGCAGCTTCGACGGAAATAGACACACACAACAGAGGCAAGTTGCAAGTTCGCCCCCGCCACTGCGACACTTTCGATTAGAAGTTCCATCAAAACTGCATTTTAAATTCCCATTTCTTTTCACACGCACTTAAAGCCATCCAATTTCTGGACATCAATTTCGTTTCCGATTACCAAGGCGATTTTCACAGCGCGTTTCCTTCACCGATCGCTGATTGCCTGCGCATTGGTCGAAACAAACAAACCGAAATCAGCGCAACATGAACGAAAGCGCACGCCACAAATACTAATTATAAAGATTGAAAATATCGGCGATGTCGAGAACCCCGAGCACAGAGCACGGCCGTAAGATCCGCGGGAGAGCTGAACTGAGTGTGCGCCTCTTCCCGTTGCTATTATTGTTTGCTGCGACCAAAAGAAGCCAAAAAAAAAATAACAGCCAAAGAGCCAACATCATGTCAGGTATGATTTCATACCCTAAGTATCAGGGGTTTATCCCACAAATTTAAGCTTATTCTAGCAAAAATTAGGAAAAAATAATGAAAAATTCAGAAGAAATTCAGTTTGGGAGAGTTCTTGGGGGGGAGTTTCTCAGGGTAAAGGGAATTCAGTAGTCGAGTCAGTCTCCTAGCTGATCAGTCATTTTAGTCGGAGAGAGCGAGAGCAGGTCGTGAGCATTACATATTTTTAGACATTCGATTCTGCTGCTGAACGCGCCTCTTGTTGTTTAGTGTTTTTTAATTATTAAAACAATTACATCGGGGTCGCAGTTTGGCAATAAATTAGTTAAACGAATACATTTCTTGGAAGCAGTTATAGAAAATATCCAGAGATTTTTTAATCGTTTAAATCAAGTAAACATACATAAATTAAGTAGCCAGGGACTATTTATAGAAACCGTTTCGCTGAAGAAATTGACATTGAATTTCCCGCAGTCTTTAGTCGATTGTGCAATGTTGTCGATGTCGACAAGTGCAAGAGCCTGCCAAGAGGCCAAGAGATCGGTGTAGACGCCAAGGGGACGGAGATTCTAAGGTTGGAGGTAAGCAATAATGTGTTTCTGTTCTTGAGAACGCTTCACACTTGAAACGCCACCGAAAGTACAGGAAGTACAAACTTGGGGGCCAAAAAAAAAAAGAAAATTAGCAATGCGAAGGCAAACTGAAAAGGAGGCCTTTTGGAGCCCAACGATGAGTCAGCCGGCTATTTTTGGGTAAACTTTCTTTGGAAGCGGTAGCATGTTGTTAGTGGGCAATCTTTTCAAACACATGTGCAACACAAACACAAGACAAAAATAAGTTTGAGGAATAGAATCTACCTCGATGAAATGCAGCCCCAAAGCGGACTTGGACATTTCATTCTGCTGCTGCTGTTGATGTGGTTGGTGTTGCTGGCTTGAGTGATTGAATATGACAGAATTGCTTTGTTGTAGCTGCGACTGCTGCTGCTGTTGTGGTTGCTGCGGTTGCATGTTCGATGACGATGACGCCGGCGACGCGTAAAACAATTGCGTATTTGTATTTGGATCGTATTGAAGCCCAGCGGCACCGCCACCTCCACCTCCAGCGGAAGCATTCAGAAACTGCGTATGCGGATGCGGTTGCTGATGTTGCTGTTGTTGCTGCTGCTGTTGGTACTTGACCGGCTGCATCTGATTCGGCTTGGGATAGGCATACGGATCGAAGGTCTGCAACGGCTTGCGCTCCGGCTGCTTGGGCATATTATAGTAATTCCTACTCATCATGCCCAGCCCAAAGTTGGAATGCTGCTGGGGGTGTTGCTGTTGCTGCTGTTGTTGCTGTTGATGTTGCTGGTGGAACTGCAGGGCCGTCGGCCTTTGGGCGGAGCTGAAGGAGGCCGAGTGCGTCAGTGGGGCACCGGTGCGGGGATAGCCGATCTTGGATGGCTGCTGAGGCGCTTGGTAGCCGTACATCTGGGGCATCATGCCGGGCGGCTGTTGCTGCAGCGGCTGGCCAAACTTGTTCTCCTTGTTGGTGTTCTTTTGCAGAAACATGGCCAGTCCCGATTTGGGTGCCTGCTTTGGCACATGCGAGGAAGAGTACGACTGCTGAAGCTTGTGGGGCAAATGTGGCTGCTGCTGCTGTTGCTGATGGGCAGGTATATGTTGCTGCTGCATGAAGGGATCACTCGCACCATTCATGGCGGAACATGCAAAGCTATTCCAGTTTAAAAAGGGTCGCTTGTGTTGAGGATATTGCTGCTGTTCCTGATGCGGTTGCTGTTGCTGTTGGTGATGCTGCTGGTGTTGCAGCAAACGTTGATAGCCGCCCATGGGTAACTGTGAGGTAGAATTCGATTTTCCTATGGGATAACAAATCCTTTGTTGCTGCTGCTGGTGCTGCTGTTGTTGCAGCAACGGCTTCTGTGGATCGTAAAGCTGTACTGGCACTGGGATCTGAGATTCTCCCGCGTACTTGCTAGTGCTGCTGCTCGTGGGGCCTTCGACTGCAGGCTTCGGCTCTTTGTGCTCGCCTGTCAACGATTGCGACATGATAGCATTATTATTGATGTTACTAGTGTTGTTGCTGTTGCTGCTGGTCTTCAACTTTAGCATGTCGTTTAAGCATTTTTCTAGCTTGTTGTCAACATCTTTCTGGCGCTTTGTGGCCGCTGACGACGATGACGATGTTGGCACCTCCAAGTTGGCATTCGCCATCGCCGCTGCTGCTGCTGAGCCACTTTGTTGCTGCTGTTGGTCGCTCGTTGTGGTTGTTGCTGCTGCTGTTGGGGTTGGTGTAGCTGTTGCCGCTGTGGTTGTTGCCGTGGTAGGGGCAATGTGGAACGATGAGGTAAACTTTGATAGCTGCGGCAGGTGGGTGGTGCAACAGTTGGTCACCGTAAAGCTGCTTGTGCTTATTGTGCTATTGCTTTTCTCCGATTTGCGTTCTAGAGATGCCGAATCCCCTGGCCCAGATTCCTCGATTGGTGCCACTTGTTGTGGTTTCTGCAGTGGCTGTTGTTGCTGTTGCTGGAGGTTGTTTTCCTGCGGTCGACGGAAGAAGGCGGCAGCGCAACGTGGCGAAGGGACACAGGAACTGCTGGAGCTCTTCAAAACCCCACTGGGTTTGCTTACAGTCGGCGGAGCAGTAGTTAGGGCAAGAGGTGGTGGTGCAGCCTTAGGTGGCTCCCTCGGCGGAGGGTCCTTGCGTGGCTGTGACATAAGTATCGCAGAGTTCGAGGTGCTCCTGCTCAACGAAGGTAGATTCTTCATATAGCACGGTATATGCGTGCGACTAGCAGTCCGCATCAAAGGAGCTCCGATGGGTTGACCACCACCAGGGACATGTGTCATTGACATGCTCTTCGGGAGGGCCTGTTGCTGCTGTGCTGGAGGTTGCTGCTTGACCGGCACTCTGCTCACAAAACTCGTTCCAGCCGAGGGAGATTGCTCGTTGCAAATCAGCTTGTAGAGATCGTCCTTGGTCACCGCCTGACGCACCTTTAGATCCAAGTGCGAGAGGGAGGCATTCTTCTGCAACTTGTGGGGGTGATGTTGAGGCACCTGCGTCTGCTGAGGACGCTGTAGTTCCTTTTGAGCCGCCTCCGCCACCGTGGGATCAAATATAGCTAGTTTCTTGGCTGTCTTGGCATCCACCTTAAACGGTTGTCCGGCATCACCCAACTGGGCTCCACAGATCTTCTCATAGTTCCAAAAGGTTCGCTTCGGAGTTTGCCGTTTCTGGGAACTGGTAAGATTCTCGCTCCAGAATTCGTTCATCAACTGCTTGTTAAGGGACAGATTGGAGCCACTTTGCAATCCATTCTTTGCCGGGCAACGGACGCATTGGAGTCGGCGTACTTAGTGGCATATTGGAGCTGGAAATGCTGCGCTGCAGCTTCGGCTCGCCACCAGACTGTGAAAATATGGAGGGATAGGCCATACGCGGAGCAGCTCCTCGACTACTGGGATTCTGGGCAAAGTTAATTGAGGACGACTTGGATAAGCCGGAAGAGATTGCTGGTACTCCTGTTCCAGGTGCACCCTTCGTCACCGACTGCTGCGAATTGGATTTGGCCAATGGCTGCTGCTGCCGCTTGATCCTGTCGTATAGATCTTCACATTCCTGGAATTCCTGGTGCAGCTTTCTGTCCAACTCGCTGTAGTCGGGCAAGCTCTTTAAATACTTGTTCATCATCTCTATCTCGGCATCGTAGAAATTCGCATCCAACTTGGCACTGTTAGTGGCTGCCGCCGATTTTTCCTCCAGCTCCTGTTGCTGTTGTAGCAACTTGTCTAGACTGATTTCGTTAGACGGAGGAGGAGCAACAGCTGCAGTGTGTTTGGCATTCTTGGGAGCCCGACATGGAACTGGAGGTGGTGGGGAGGAAGATGGGGAACTACAGGAGGACAGCGATATACTCGAAGCCGGACTCGAGGCAATGGTGGCCATTAAACGGGAAGGCAAAGCTCCCACTGAGGCACTGCTGATCGTTCCCGTGGCCGCATTGTAGGCAAGTGGGTGATGCTTCCTTGGTAGTGGAGGCGTAGATTTGGGACTGGCCGGCAGTAGAGGTGGTCGACTCTTCCGGATAGCCAACGGTGAGGAGATCGGTGAACGAACTCCGCACTTGCTCTCCGGAATGCTGGACGACAGCACCGAAGCAAACTGCGGGGAGACCACCTGGAAAAACTGCTGGCCACTGGCCGGTGGTGGCGTCGGTTTCTGCATAGCTGGTTGAGATTCCTCTTTTGTTCTTAGGTTTGGTGACTGGGCGGTGGAGGAGGAAACCGCTGGGGGCACTGTAACTGCTGGCTTGCCGGCATCTTCACTCATCTATAGGAAACAATCGCGAACTGTGAACCGTTTGGGGTTCTATGAATAGGAGATCCGATTACGACTGAATCCGTTGATTCAGCTAGTTTTTCAATTAATTTCAACTGAATCCGTTAATTCAGATTTTATCGCGGTTTTTATAGTGATGTGTGTGTGCGTTTATTCATGTTTTTCATTTCACTTTCTAGAAGTAAACCTTTGCCAAATCCTGTTTTAAGACCCTATAAAACTAAACCTAAAGTGTAACAAAATGTGTTCCTAGCATCGAGGTAAATTCTATTAGACAGATTTCGAACAGAACACAAGAGGAAGGAGACACCAAACACCAGACGAACGAAAGACACCACAGAGCGTTCACCAACACGACGACGACCAACCTGTAGATACTGCTCCGGTATCTTACTGTTCTTCGGCACTACGATCTTTTTAATAATGATGATCTTATCGCCCTCGATCTTGGTTATTGTGATGGGAACACCGGGCATGGGACGCTGCGGCTTAACGGGCACCGGTTGTTTGGGTGCGGTACGGATCACTTGAGGTCCTGTGAGAATGCCACCAGGACTTGGCTTGACAGGAGCAGGCTTGGGTTTAGGTTTAGGTTGGGCAGGCACATGTTCCTTGTTATCACTGCGCACTATGGAGAAGTGGTACAATGGTTTATCATCGTCCAGAATGCTCTTCTGCGGCACAACTTTCTTCTCAACTCTACGAAGAACCACTCCAAGCATGGGTGACTCTTTGGGCTTTATAGTTATCGATCCACTGGGCGCTGTTACGCGCTTTAGGCTCACTCCCAGATTGGTGCCCACCGGTGGTGGTGTCTTGGTTCGATGCACCATTTTTCCACTGGGTATCTCACGGTAACCATCGTCCATTCGCCCGCGGCGATGATCCTCTTCTATCTGTTGTTGAACCTTCGGATCGGGATCGGTGTGCAGAGATGGCTCGGGTGCCACCAAAGGTGATGGTCCAGGAAAAAGCGAGGTGAGGCTACTACGCCGTCGGTTCATCACATTAGGCGCTGATACCGTCTTGGTGAGGGGAAATTTAGATGCCTGTGGCACTGGTGCTACAGGTGGTTCCACTCCAGTGGCACTAGATGTGCTTCCGCGTCGACTGGCTGCTTTGCTGGGCTGTCTTGAAGCCGAGGCACTGATACTGGCCGAGTCCAAGCTGGTCATACTGGCGGAACTCTGGAGGCGATCAGGAGCTGCACTTCTTTCATGATTACGCTCTGGTGAAATGGACCGTTCTCGGGTGCGATTATGGGAACGCGCATCACGAGCAGCTCGCTGCATTCGTAGCAGCTCAATGGAGTCGGCCAGGTGGGATGTACTCTTCTGGGGCGGGGAATCATCTTTGGATGAGGCCTTTGGCTGGGACACATTTAATAGGTGCATCTCCATTGCATCGTCAATGTTGCTGGGTAACGAAGTAATGCGTTCCCTTGGGCCAGAATTGGTTGGAAGCGAACCTTTGGCCAGCTCCTCTTCTTCGACTTCATCCTCCTCTTCATCCGTCTGTTCCCTTTCACGCTTCTCCTGTTCCTCTTGCTCCCTGCGCTTCTCGCTCTCCATCACCCGTTGTAGCTGGGCCTGCACCTCGAGGGCAGCACGTGCTCTGGCCTTGGACTCGGCCTCGCGGGCCTGCCGCAACTGTTCCTGGGCAATTGCCCGAGCTTCCGCCTCCGCTTGGGCTCGGGATCTGGCCTCAGCTTCAGCGGCAGCTGCTGCCCGTAAGGTGGCCAAATCCGTGGCTGTCATCTGTTTAATGCTTAAGCGGCGCTCTGTGTTGAGAATCAACTCCACCTGGGTGCTTCCGCCCTCACGCTTTTGGGCCGTGAGATCTGGACACCCGAGGGCGATTAGTTCGCTGAGTTCGTTGGACATTCCGTAGGCTGGGGATGGTGATCTCTCCGGTACCTTGTCAGTTTTCTTTCTGGATCCCAAGGGGAAAAAAATACTCGGTTATCTAATATTGCACTGGCGATTCCCTCGAATTGCGTTGGGTTCGACTAGCTGGGCAAGACTCGCGAGGCTGCCAATAGTGGCCCCAAAGGAAACCTGCGCATAATCGGATCAGCTCGTATTGGTTCTATTCGGATCAGATCGGATCGGAACAATCGATCGCACGCTCAATGTCAATGTCTCATTGGCATTTTGGCAAATGCCCGACGACTTGACTTACTAATTGTACCAATGGTCGTCATTCGACCAAAGACTTTTCCTTTTGGCGCCCATATACATCCGACTTATATGTGGGTACAAGCGTATATAGCACCCCCAATTTGTTTTGGTATATATAATGTAGAGCATATATAAATTACAAATCGTAAACAGCAATGAGCTCATTGATCGCGGCGCCGCCTCACCGAAAACTGCCCCTTAACCCCCTTGCGATTCTAGCCAAAGAAGACCTGCACCTTGCCCTAGATATATTGCGATGTGAATATAGCATATATATGAATATATCCCTGGAGAGATCGCTTTGGCTGATGTGTGATATCTCGGTGGGGTTCATTGGGCATCTTTTACCCTGCCTTTCTCTGTTCCGTTCGAAATCTGTTTTTATTTTTAACGAATAGACGACGACGCACGTAAATTGGCGCAGCCGGGCGTTATACCTAGTACACAGTACGTGTGACGCTAGTGCCAGTACAGTGAAACCTCGGTCAGCCATGCAAATTGAATTTGCAATCTAAATTTAAGAGATGCATCTCCAATCTCTGTCTATCGCATTCGACTTTAATTGCGTTTTTAATTCAGTTTAGTTTTCCATTAATTTCATGATCTTTGTTGATCTCTGGCCCACCTTTCACTGTACCGAAAGCAACACAGCAAAAGGGCAGCAGCAGCAAAAGGAGACGCCGAAGCGGCGGAGAACAACATGATGATGATGTGGCAGCCTGATGAATAATCCCCGCCGATCTGTGGCGCACATATAGATATATAGTTTGTATCTATGTGGCACACACACACTAACACACAAACACTAACGGACACACACGTGTGTGCTCCATTTGTTAGTTTTGAGTTTTTGTTTTGATTTGCTTGGCCGCTGCGTTGTCTTCTTCTCCTTCATCTCCGAGTGTACAGATACAAAAAATACTGATCTAATTTATAATTTTAAATATTATTTTCTTCTCCTTTTACTATTCAATGTTATCCACTATAGTAATCGTAAGATAAATAAACCCCTATTTTGAGAAAGAGTTAGATTTAATCTATCCCAATTTCTGCCTGTGCATTCGAGTGAGTGACTGTTGCATTAGCCACCTCTATCCATCCGCTATTTCTATTAAAAGTATCTTTCGCTTCGGTAATTGCAAACTTGATGGAAAAGTGCAAAGTTCACTATCAGCGTTTTGGACGTTTCACAGCTGCTCATCTGGCTGGCGGCTCCTATCCCATTTGATATTATTCCAAATTATTTACTCGCCACCGTTGGCGGGGGGTCAATAAAACAGTTTGGCTCTGGTATCTTGCATCGTGTTTTGTTTAAACAAATTCAGTCTGTCGAATATCGCGCACTTTTTTAACACTCTTTGTGTTTTTTGTTTGATGTTTTTTCAGTTTCGACAATTTTGTTCTTGCCTCTGCTACTGTTTTATTTTTAAAACACTTAAATGTTCTAAGTTTTTGAGTTGTTTTTTGTTCTTTTAGTTGATTATGTCACGGTGCCCAGCAATTGTTTTGGGACTGCGTCTCTTTCTACCTTCCTCTGGGGCTAAAATGCGTTTCTATATTGCACATACGCCCAGTATGTACCTCTAAATATTGTTCTATTCGGTTATTTGGTGTTCCTGAGCCAAACGACCAAAAAAAAAAAATGAAATCAAAAACACAAGAACGACACACACACACACACACACACACAGATATCGATAAACAAAGTGCGCGAAAGGAGACGATCGATATACAGATCGGTGGAGCAGAGGGATTAAGAGAGAGACGGCGAGTGTGCAGGGGGTATCCCCGTACCGTTACACGACGAATACGAAGCGACGACAATATATAGTTTATATGGCAGCAGTGGCGGCGACACACAGTCAACAAACGAAGATTTCAATCTGTTTCGGTTTCCTCAAATTTGAAAATTCTCAGCCGAAAACTGGCCGCGGCAGAGAAGAGCGCAGACTTTCTGCGGCGCGTGTATTTATAATTTTCCAATGGTTTTAGAGCAAATGGCAAACACACACGGCCCAAGAAGATGTTTTCCGCCGGATGAAGCTGCGCGCGCATCTCCGAGCAAGCAACATCAGCTGTGCGCCATGGGCCATGGTTTAGAGGAACATGCGCAGAGCACGGAGAGGAATCCCCAAGGCGTCGCTCTCAGGAACCGATATATATACGTATAAAAACAGGGGGGATTTAGTCAGGGAGAGTAGGCCCCGTGTGAATTCGTGTATATAGCTGCGGTCAAAATAATAGCATTGCCAATAAATCATACAATAATTTCCAGAAGATTTCGGAAAACTGAAATTGTATAGGGATCGTTTTTTACAAAATAATTATTTAAGTTTAACCTCTTCGTATTTGTCATTTTCTTTCATGAAAAAACTAACAGAAAGACACACTTTTAGTTCATAACATTTAATGACAAAAGTCAGCAACTGATATTCATAAGTTCATAAGAAAATCTCAAGCAGTGGTATTATTGTTGTCTAAAATACAGAGGAGAAAGAAGGGTCGACCATGCAACAGCGAAAAGATACTCGCCAACAATCTCTGAATCTGAATTTGTATGACTCACTAGATAGTCGTCATTGTGGTCCACAAAGTACTCCTCGACGATCCAATTGTCGCCGGCGTACTTGTCCACGGGCATATCGCAGAGGGCCACCAGATCGAAGTGGTTGCGCTGCCGCTTCAGCATCAAGCAGCGAGTTATGGCCACGCTATCTTCATCACCGGGGTAAGCCCCCTCCTGCTCATCCAGGCCGCATCCGTTCTCCGTTTTCGCCTCATTTCGGATGATGAGCTGTTGCTCCAACTGCCTAAAATACTGAATCTTGGCGGCGCTGAACGATGACGCGGAGGGAATTCTATGCGAGTTACTCAGCCCACTTAATTGGCGGCGACATGGGCAACTGGCAAAGCTGGCGAGGAGCAGTCAGCATCATCCACAGCAGCCAGACCAGCAGTATCTCATCTCATCACATCTCAGAGCAGAAAAGAAAACTCTGGCCGCCGTCAACGAGTTAATGTCAAATGATCAATTGAACGAAAATAACTAGAACAGCGGGATGTGCTGGGCACAGGGGAAACTATAAAGAACCACCAACAGTGAATGGGAACTATAAAGATCTTGTTTAATTAAGAGCGGTTTTTCATATTCCGAGATGCCACGAAGATCGCATAGAAATTGCTTCATTTCTACACATATATATGGCCAAGGTTTCGTTTAACTGCTCTATTTAAGTACCATTTTATTGCAGATAAATATCGTGTTAACTGTGTTTCCTCCTACATTCTTTGCCATCAAAATTAATTATCCTTGAGCTTCTATCAACTATGCTAATGTTCGAAACAGCTACTGTTTCACCAGATCATGTTCTACTAAAGTTTCCGAATTTCGACACATTACAAAGGCCTTGCTCAACCAAATGACTTTGCTCTAAATACTATCTTATCAACGACCACATACAACTCATGCTACCCTCCGAGATCTTAAGTGCCTCTCGCAGCCTTAAAATAATCATTTCCATATGCAGTTACACTATTAGTTCAGCATACTGATTATATTGAATGCCTCATGTAATCACTGTACCACAAAACCAAAAACCAGAGCAAAGTGACACATCTAATGACAAATTTAGCTCAACGCCGCATGGGTGATAAGAAAGGAGAGAGCGATCGAGTGCACTGGCGAACGATCGTGATAGCGCATTGATCACTTCACAGATCCACTTGACTTGTAATCAAGAATAGGGGGTACAACATACACACATACATCTAGAGAGCGGGCAACATGTGAGCGATTAGGTTAGTCAAGAGGCGGTGGGTGGTGGGTATGGGATCGATCGATAACACAACATACTGTGTTGGCTGCAAAGGGACACGCTTACTAGATAATCGCTGTCGTGATCGGCAAAGTACTCAACGACTATCCAATCCTCGGTGTATTGCATAAAGCGCAATGGACAGCTGGCCAAGATCAGATCGCGACAATGATCTACGACCGGTGGCGCTGGCAGGTCACGCATCTTGATGTAGCACGGAATCTGGGAGCTCTCGAAGTGATCGGCCACCTGCTGGGACTTTTCAAGATACCGCTTGAAGAACAGCATTGTAGGTGGGAGTCGATCTGCGAGATCTTCTAGAACTGATCAATCGAGCGGCACAGCTTTTGGCAATGCACAAGGATAGAAACGCAGGCGGTGGTTAACTGAAATCTGTCCGATGTATTCGTACACATAGTATCTGTCCGCCTAATTTGTTCTTTTACCATTTTGTTTTGATTTTGTTTTTCGTTTTAGTTTGTGATTTTCTTTTTTGGTTTTCCTTTTTTTTCGTTGCCCTGCCTACAATTTTCACTTGTTTGCTATGTGTGGTGTGTATAAAATGAAAAGTTTTTACCTTAGCTTGCGACTGACGGTTGTTGCGTCCGCTGTCGCGTTCGTCCTTGGCGCGATCACGATGCCGGCGACGGGAGCTCGAGTGGGAGGTCTCGTCCCTGTAGCGATACTTGTGCTGCCGCCGACTTGCGGCGGGAGATTTGCGGTGCGAGCGCTTTGAACGCTCCTTGCGTCGGCGGGATGAGATGCTGTCATCGAAACTGCAAAAAGAAAGGTGTCCGGTTAGTTTGATCTTCTGAAATATTACCTAACCACCCGGCGGCGGATGAATGGCCGTCCTTGGAGCAACGCCCAGCCACATGGACAACATGGAAAGCTACTTAGCTGCTCAGATACTCAGCTACTTAGCAGGTAAGCCGCTCCACGCTCTACACTCGCCTTGCCGCCGGATTCTTAAGCCAGGCGGCCGGCAACCGAATGCGAGACGTGTGTTGGCGAATCGGTTTTGCGTTACCAATCAAGTTAATCAACTCGGCCGGATGGCTACCTCAGCTGTTGGCTATCTGGCTGCCAGCGGCCCACCTCTACCTCCGGTAAATGCCTTTGAGAGTACTTCATGGTTTCAGTAATGACACAATGTAAGGCAGTCTCGTAAGTCAGTTTTGAACTGAACCCAGCAGCAAAGCACCCTAGACTCTGATCGAGGCCAGAAACTGTGTCAATAACATCGGTAGCTCGGCGGGCGCAGAGCTCATGTTCATGCTCATGTTACATCCACTCACCACACCCACCCCAAGAAGCCAAGAGGGCCAGACAACGAGATCCACAAGTGCGGGTGGGCAGCGATCTTGGCATGAATCAGCTGATTGCGAGAGATAACTGACCTATACAGTGCTCAAGCTCAATCTCAACCCCAAGTTGAGCTACCAAATCCAAATCCAAATACAAATCCAAAACCAAGATCCAAGAAGTCAAAAAGCCACATATGCTAATAAGGCAAACCAGCTCTCATTGAGCGATTACGAAAATTTTTGTCGGTTGTGTGCTCACAGCTCGCCCACGTGGCCCCCAAAAAGCATCTAAATTTGGGCACAAATTATGAGAAACACAGAACCGAACTGAAGCTGAAAGTGACTTTGGCTACAAGTACGATACAAGCACTCAGTCGTTCGTTAGTTCCGACCTGCATCTATATAACTATATGTATATATATATAAATATGTTATGTAGTATAGTATATGACAAAAGCTCAACGCCTGCGCACCCGCCAAGAAAACTACTTGAGCGCA